GCCATCGCTACTAGGGTGGAGGCCATCGCTATCAGGGTGGAGGCCATTGCTACTAGGTTGGAGGCCATCGCTATTAGGTTGGAGGCCTTCGCTATTAGGGTGGACGCCTTTGCTACTAGGGTGGAGGCCATCGCTACTAGCTTGGAAGCCATCGCTACCAAGGTGGAGGCCATTGCTATTAGGGTGGAGGCCATCGCTACTAGGTTGGAGGCCATCGCTATCAGGTCAGAGGCCATCGCTACTAGGTTGGAGGCTAGGTTGGAGGCCATCGCTATTAGGTTGGAGGCCATCGCTACTAGGTTGGAGGCCATCGCTACTAGGGTGGAGGCCATCGCTACTAGGTTGGAGGCCATCGCTATTAGGTAGGAGGCCATCACTACTAGGTTGGAGGCCATCGCTATTAGGTTGGAGGCCATCGCTACTAGGTTGGAGGCCATCGCTATTAGGTTGGAGGCCATAGCTACTAGGGCGGAGGCCATCGCTATTAGGTTGGAGGCCATCGCTACTAGGTTGGAGGCCATCGCTATTAGAAACAAAGAAAAAAGAAGAGGAAGAATTCTTATAATTAAGACAAATTAATGATAATTATGTGTTGGAAGTGGAAGAATCATAGTCACCCGGATGGCATGGCCTTTCCGAATACCAAAGAGGTACCAAAATTAACACCCCGAGCTGATCCCCATCCCATGTTGAAGGGAGATGGCAGGTGTCGGCCGCCCATCTCAGCGCCCCTTGTTTTGGAGGGATCTGTTTCAGAATTGGCTTCAAGGATTGGCTTCGAAGAAACAAAAAGAGCGGCCGCAGATCCTTAATCAAGTGTTGGTCTAGGCTTCCCTCCGGCTGAAACTCATACACCAAGATTGCACCATCTCTGTGAGAGCAATGTCCCAAGAGAGCGATGATGTTGGGATGGGCGAAAGTGGTGAGAACCTCACAAAGGCACGAAAAAGTGATTTTAAAAAATCTTGCGCAAGCAATAAGAGACTCGGATGTTTCTTTCCTTGTGTTTCGTATCACGGGACTCGCATTCCAGAAGTTGCCAAACAACACACAGAGATCTGCCGCGCCCCTTGCTCTCAGCTTGGGTCTTGGTTCTTTATGTTTCTCCCCTCCATGTGTCGTGGAACATGCGTGCAGCGTGCGACAAATGCATCAGCGGCACAGGCGGGCACCGATGTGGCCGGCGCTTTGCAGGAAAATGCCGAGAACAAAGCAATTGAGTAATTAGTTGTGTATTGCGCTTGAGACAACTTGTGAAGAGTCGGGGCATGAGCATGGCATGCGTGAGCCAAACCTAGTTCTGGGATGATCCTTTTGGTTGCGAAGGAAAGGGGCTGCCAATTGCGCTCTCCTGGGCCACTTTGTTCGATCGAGCGGTGTATAGGCACAATTTGGATCCTCTCACCAACAACTTCCTTGGCACAGCCCCTGCTGTGTCGAACGGGTGGCACTGTGCACATGAGTTTCATTCTTGTGCTGGTATTCTCATGTCGGCTGGGCAACAGAAAATTCAATGACCCACACGTGCGTTTGAAAAGGTTCTGCTCATGTAAGTTAACGTGTTGGGGCACCCAAATAACCATGGAAAAAAAAACTGCTAACATCAGAGCCATTTCTGATCTGATGCGCTTTACATCTGTGATTCCTCACCAGAAAACATTCTCAAACATGACGTCCATCGACTTAGGTAGAGACTCGGATTTCAGCTGCAGTCATTCTTTCCAGCTGCTCTCGCTGCTGCGCATCTTGGCATTCCAAGCGCTTGGCTGCGAACTCCATAAAATGTTCATGATCCACCCCATGGTAGACAGTGCCATAGGCTCCAGCACCAAGAGAACGATCAGGAGAGAAGTTGTTGGTGCATCTTGCAATGTAAGCATAATCTGATAAGCTCTCAGTCACCTCGAAAGCTGGAGTTGCAGCTGGTGCAGATGGTGCCTTTGCCTTGGCCACCGGTGCAGATGGAGGAGCTGGTGCAGCTGGTGCAGCCGGTGCAGCTGGTGGGGCTGGGGCTGCTGGTGCAGCTGGTGCAGCTGGTGCAGCTGGTGGGGCTGGGGATGGCCCATAGGCCTCCGATAATGAGAGAGAGCAATCGCCATGTCCAGTTCTTCTTGTTCTCTTCTGGCTCTATCTCCAGATTGATGGGGTTGTGGGCTTGGTTTTGGTGCTGCAGGCAGAGCTTCTTCTAATGATCGAGCTATCGCTTGGGCAAGCTCTATATCTTCATCTAGTTGATTCTCCGGCACATTCCCCCCACGTTGGCGCGAGGAATTCTCGCGCCGCAAGACTGGCCGGGGAGCAGGGGGAACAGGAGATGGCCGCAGAACAGGAGCCTCGGGTGGCTGGCAACGGCGGGCGCGACAACATGGGCCAACCCCACAACGGGAGCACACTGAAGGGCCGCTCCCGCAGCCACAGATGGGAGGCCGCTCACGTGGTCCACGTCCTCGATCGTTGATGCAACTGGTACGCCCAGTGATGCGATAGGTGCAGCGTCCACACTCCCGACAAACCCCACATTGGTCACCATCGAACCTGTGCCCTGAATGGCGGCCTTCTCCTTTCGCACCCATTGCGCCCCTCATGTCAAAACATAGGCTGCTTGGCTTTCGAGGACACTCACTGCACGCACAAGCCCCCAAACGTCCCGCACAGTGCTCGCAGTGGTTACTGCTACTTCCCCTGCTGCGTGCCTCACACTCAGCTCCCGGTGGTCTGGGGCAGCCCTGGGAGCAACTGCAGGCTGCTGCAAAACCAGCACAGTGCTCGCAATGTCGTCCCTGAACTCGAAATTGGTGGTGACCTGACCGCGCAGCAAAAGCCCGATGGCGCACCGCGCCAAATTGGTGCGGGTTCCCGCTTTGCGGCTTTTCCGACGAGCCAGGTGGGGGGTCGAAGACGGAGGAAGGGATGGAAACCAGTGGAAACCAGGACCTTTCGACCAAGAATTCCTGGCGAACGGAGGATGACCGAAAATTGTTGTTTCATCCGGAACAAGAACGCTGAGGTGGGTTGGTCCAGAATTGTGGGACAGTCCAACGCAAGTGGCTGAGCTAGGGAGGATGTGGGAAACATGTTGGGAGCCAACATCATTGACTTGGTAAACTCTCCTTCCTTTTAGTTCTTATCTACAGTAACTCAACGCGATTCTCCGACTGGCTTTATTGGCGTGAAACGGTTTGCTGTAGGCCTCAAGAAGTATGCTTGGCCAAGTTCGGGTGCTGAAGCCAGCAACAGTTTGGAAGCGACGGGCTGCAGTGAAGGGAACCCATCCACTGTCCAGGCACGTAATACATAATACTCTCTAACCTACAGGAAAACACAATTCAGTCTGTTCTTTGCCGGAACCCAGCCGATTTTTTATCCTTAAGCTCTTGGAGATCAGTGTTGAAAGCAAGTGGCAGAAGTCACGAATTGAATTACTGAGAAACAAAAGCATACAAAAGCAGCTCCATTCGGTTCTACTTACAAAACCCAGGAGGTTGTGCCGGGATTGTGGCAGTTCTAATTCCTGCAGCACCCTCTTTGAAGTCTGCCTAGCAAGTTGGCCCACGTCATCAGTGGATTTCCCTTCAAAAGCTATCTTCTTCATGTTCAAGTCAACATTCTCATGTGTCCCCCATCACACACACACACACACCCCGCCCCATCTGAAACACATCCTCCGCACCTGTTGTTTTACCATGTTCCACAGCGGCGGAACGGTTCAAGCATCGATGCCCACAACTGCAACACACACAGGGCAGCTGCTCGTGCGCATCGGGCGTGGAGGTGAACTGCCGATGCCCGGTCCTGGCCGAAGGAAACGACTCCTGCCCGATGCCCGGGGTGAAGTATCAAAAAAAATATTTATTGCAACAAAAAAACTATTCAAGAGGATCAAGAAAAACGCTAATTATTTAATCAAAAAAACAATTCACCACAAAGCCTCTTTGGGCTGGGCGTCGGACCTGCTGGCATTTGGGTTCGTTTTTAAACTATTTTGCCAGGCTCGCAGAGCAATTTGACTCACATTACATTAATGCAAGTGGCCACGCACAATTCTAGTGAGGAAACCCTTTTCCACCCTACAGGGACGGGGCGTGTGCAGATTTCGTGGCGGGGGAGGGGGGGTTAGGGGGGAGGGCGCAGCGCCTCCCCCCCAATGAGCACACACGGCTAGTGCTTTCAGGTATGCACTACATTGGTCGGAACTAACGTGAGTGATTAACGTGTTTGATGGTTCTTTTCTTTTCTATTTATTGCAGTTGTTTCCTCCTGCTTTTATGCTAAGTTGTGTCCTCCTGCTTTCTTCCTTCCTTGGCTTCTGGCTGCCTCGCTTTCCTTTTTAGAACAACAGCAGCATTAATGTTCAACTGTCAATGAACTCAAATTTCGCGGCAAGAGATTTGCAAAGTACGTGCGGAGTTCCTGGCGCAGGAGGCATGTCTGATGGTTCTTTTCTTCCCTCCCTCCTTGCTTCCTTCTCGACACATCATCGGAAACTACCCACCCCGCAGCACCTCCCTCCCATGAGCACATACGGCCAATGCTTTCAGGTGTGTACTACATTGGTCTCAACTAACGGGAGTTATTGACATGTTTTATGATTCTTTTGTTGCTTGTTGTTGTTTAATTCTATTCTTCATTTTCCTTGTGGTCCTTCCTTTGTTACGTTGTTTTTTTCCGGCCTTCTTCTGTCCGTGCTTCCTTGCCTCCTGGCTGCCTTGCTTCCATCCTTGCTGCCTTCCTCACTTCCTACCTGGATCCCTTCTTTTCTTCCTTCCCTTCCCTTCGACGAGGGGACCAGGGACCAAGGGGACCAGGGGACCAAGGAGACCAGGGGACCAAGGGGACCAGGACCAGGGGACCAAGGGGACCAGGACGACCATGTGGACCAGACGGGAAAGGAAATAACTATTTATTGATGAGTTAATTTCTTTTTTTGATTATGCAATTAATTCTTGGTTGATTCAGTAATTAATTTCTGTTTGATACACATGCCCGATGCCCGGCCGATACCGGGAAGTCGTGGGTTTGGCCTTCTTCCCCGAACCGAGGCAGCGAAGGGAACCGAGGCAGCTCAGCAACGGTGGACCGCGGGCCGTTCTTTGCTACGGAAAAAGGGCCCTTGAAACCGGGTTCGACCAGTCCTTCGTCACGCAGGGGGTGTTTTTTGACTAGTCTTTGGTGGCGTCTCAGTTCTTGTGCTTCGGTTTCGAAGCCCAATCGGGGTTCGAATGCCCATGGATTGGTTTCGTTTTGACACATACCCACATCAGCCAAAAAGAGACAAACAAAAAAACCGTGAGTCTATCGATTTATTGGACTTTGGTGCAAACAAACAGAAAAGATCTGACATGATCCCGTCCATGTGGGATCAGCCCGTCAGACCGTGATGTTCCGGATCCGCTAAAGACGTGGAGGTTCACTTCAGAGACCGGACCCAGTCTTACACAAGTCCCCCAACCACTTATGTATAATGTATATAGAAGTGCTCCTTGCGGCTAATCTCTTGAACAAGCAAAAGGTTTTGCCACTGATCAACCAAGAGGCGAATGGGTGTGAAGCCAAGATTCCATACGATTGCCGCAGCGTTCACCACATTCCCTGCCTTGGACGAGCAGAGGTGCCCAGGCACAGAGCGAGAAAATCGCTCCATCAACGCCCTAAAACCATTGGAATCTACCTAGGTTTGATGTGAACTGGCCGCCCGATGTGATGCCGGTGGCGTGTCTTGCAGTCTTGCACTCAATCCTCAAGAGCACCTGGTTGAGATGTGAAAGGGTTTTGCCCCATTTCGCGAGAAAGGTTAGCCGAATTCAATTCAGATTCAAGGTGCAAGTCATCGGCATATGATCTGTAGGGTCGTCAGATGCAGCGGCTGCTAGAGATGCCAGCATCTCATCAAAATCAAGCTCCGGCATGGTGAACATCGCAGCTTGATGGTGCCTGCAACAACGAGTGCACACGCATGCACACGGGTCTGTTAAGCAAAAACTCCTGAAGCCAAAGGGCTAAACGGATCCGAAACCATGTTTGAGTGAGGCTGATGATGCCGCAGAACAAGACATGTTATCCACACCATAAAAACGACCTCACCTGCGCCACGTTTGAGCTGATGTATCATGTATCATTGTATCATGTCTCTTTTGCAATGTTTGCTGGCTCAAAGAGGAGTTGAGAGTGTCAAGATCCAAAAAGCACGCGACCACCCTCTTTCATGGAAAATCGGGAAAAGAGAAGAAAGCCTCCAAAAGGTCTTTTTGGGACACCGGACCCGCAAGAGTCTAGCGCGCTGTCTACGCTCGACCGCCAGCTAGCTCTCGCTTTGCTTCCAGCTGTGATCCAAAATAGCTCCCTCCAACGACGCCTTTTTGACTCCTAGACCAGACGTTTCACGGCCAGCGTTGGCTTTTGCACCTGGCGGTCAAGACCGGGTCTGCGCAGGTCTGGTCGCTCATTCCAAACGGCCCGAGGCTATTTTGGGAAATGGGCCACCTTGGGGTTTGTATTCCCATCGTCCAAGAGCTTTGCGTCGATTTTCCTTCTTCCAGGCCGTAGAACTGATTCGGATCCTCCCTAATTTTACTGCACACCCAATGGATTTATATGGGTTATGGTATCCCTGCGTATCCCCTATACCTCTAGTGTGTATAATACAGAATCCTAATTGGGGAAAAAGGGAACGTTTGTTCCATCAGCGGAACTTGTACACTCGATTCAAGGAACTTGCGCACACCATGTTTACCGCCGGATCGTTCCGGATCGTCCCCAATTCGATGGCTATTCCTTTCATCAAACGGACCACAGAATGACCGGGGCGAGTCTTTCAAAGAACTAAGACATCGGATCACTCCTTCCATCCGTCCATCACCTGATGTTCATGACCTCTCCAAACATCCAAGAAAGCACCCCATGAGTGCTTCACCCCCAACTGCCCAAATGCCCCAACTCCCTCCCTGAAACAACCATGGAAGTGGCAAACCTCCATGGTTGGCCAAGGAAAATGGTCCTCCAACGGGACCATGATTCTTTCAAGGAGTGGGCGCCCCCAACCCGTCCCCCCACGCCTTCACAGCGCCTTGAACCTCGACACCCTCGGCTGCTCGATCGCAAAGACCCAGCAGCAAAGGCGATGGCGTTGACAAGCCCTGGCGAGGGGCGACGGCAGGGGGCGCTCAGTGTGCAGCGTCGTGGCGGCGGTTTGGTGCGTCGCTGAAAGAGCCGGGGGCGACGGGGGCGACTGGTCGCTGAAAGATGTATGGCGCAGCGTCATGCAATATTGGAGACATGAACAAACAAGTGTATAGCAGTGTATGAGCGAATCCAGGCCGAGAATTCCTTGCTAGCCCTTTTCACCGAACCGGTGAAAAGCAGCTAACCCACCCTCCTGTGGTTCTCTGTTTGCTTGTGGACCTCCCAAGGAGCTCCAAGTCAATGGCAGCTCCAAGTCTCCAAGGACATCCACCCAACTACTTCACCCCACCGCTGACGACCGACGCGTCCTCCGCCGGTCGGCTGATGGTCAAAGGCTCCTGCGTTCGGCGTTCGAACGGCGAGCGGAGTCGGCCCGCTAGTCAAAGCGCCGGGAGAGGGCGGAGGATGGAGACGGGGAGCCCGAGCCGAAGCAAAATCAGGAACCGCTCAGGGACCGGACTCGAGTGTTTTGGGGTCCCTCATGTGAGGCTGGGCGCCCGGGCGCCCGAGCCGGACTAAGAGTCCGCACCCTGATTCACATAGGGTTGGTCCGAACCGCTATGGAGGGTCCGACCTCTGCCGAGAAGCCCAAAGAAGAACCCTGCAAGTGCTCAAAAGAAGAGCCGCGCTTTGAGCACGGTGGGGCAGTCTGCAGGCTGAAGTCGGTGCCCTGACTGTTTAGCTTGCTCACTTTTATAGATTAGCTGGACATGTGCACATGTACAATTATGAGACGTGGGCTTCTTTCACAAACTATCTTGGAAAGGAACACAAGGAACACAAGCCACTAACAGCTATCAACATCTCGAAGCATTGGGATTCATCCATGCAAGTGCTCCTCTTGCATCCCGCTTTCAGAACATGCTTCCCAAAGCTTTGTGTTTACCTCATCTTCATCTTCTGGCCCCCTGGCCGCCCCTCTGCTCGGTTGTTCAATCGATTGGACTCGGACTCGATACGCCTCATTGGCGAAGCTCAAGGGTTCGCTCACAGCGCTGGCCTTGGCGTCATCGTCCTGGACGAAGCCGACAGAAGCCGAAGCCGACGGGTGTTAAGGAACTTTCCAGAGGAAACATCCTTCAAGAAGGGGGAGCAAGTGTGCCAAGCCGAAGAAACCATGTTCAGGTTCTGCAAGAAAGATGGAGTGTCCCCTACACTCCTCCTCGTCTGCAGAGAAAACACCGTGAAGGATAGGAGGGAGCATGTGGAACTCCTACCAGAGACATGAACGAACGGGGCACCATGGGATCTGTAGGAATGGCATGAGATGGCGGATGTTTTTGTGTTTTCAAGGTGTGTTCCTTGCGTCGTTCCTCAGTCCACGCGGAGTGGATTCCCATGGTCCATCGGATGCAGGAAGATGAGGAAGATTGGGAAGAGCTGCACCAGCACGCTGCACCAGTGTCGTGTACGCTTCTGTGTACGCTTCGGTGCCTCGGGAAAAAATAACAAACCAACGCTCCTCCCACCGTCACCGTGTGGCGCTTTGGTCCGTTTTTCCCTCGAAATCCTCCGCCGGTGGCGCTGCGGAGGCGTCTGGGAGAGCCACTGCAGGCGAGTACCTGACGAAGCATGAGAGACCGGAGCGGGGAGCGGGGAGGAGGCCAGATGTCATGGGTGGTGTTTCTGTTGTTTCGGGACTCACTCACTCATTTATATAGACGATTCTGGCCAGACGGATTGATGGGTTTGCCTCTGCTGAAGGGTGGATTTGGGAGGGTTCCCCAATTTCGAGACACGCTTGATACACCCGCAAACATGGAGTCAATACATGGAGTCAATACACGGAATCATGTGGAAGCACTTGGGTTGCTGCTCCTACCGCACGTGCTACTGAATTCGGAACAGTTGAAGATACCAAGGCCAACCATTTGCGGTGTCCACAATTGATGAGTCTAGTCGGCTCTGAATCTCCCAGTCGCCTCCAACGCTCCTGTGAATGATATTCGATCAATCAATCGGGTTGCGGAATGTTCTCCATTTACAGGCTGCTTGGCAGCTACTTGGCAGGGTACTTTGTCACGGAAGTGTGCCTGACAAAGCAAAAGAACACATGACCTCTTGAAAGAGCTTCATGGACAAAGTGCAAGTAGACGAGGAATCGACTGATTCTTGGAATCGACAGAAGCCAAGCCAGCTCAGCAGCAACAGATGAGGCGCACTTCTCGGGTAGCACATAGATGGGAGTCTTTGCCCACACAGCCAAGAGAGCATCCATCCGGGTCTGCCAGAGGGCATCTGGACTCTCCAAAGAACGGCGGGGGTGTGTCCCGCCCCGACTCAGTTCTGATCAACTGGCAAAAGACTTCTCTATCTTCTCTGAGGTCTGGCAGGTTTGGAATTCTCCACTTGGAGAACAACGTGTGTGACAAAAATCCGTTGAAGAAACGTGTCTGTGATAGCACAAGGGTGAGGACTCCTTCCAACCAGCGTAGGGGGGCATCAGGGCATCTGTTCAGCGGCAAACAAATGAAGATACAAACAAACACAGTGTATGAAGATGAGGACTTCCTCAGATCAGGGAAGTCCTTTTGGGGGAGGCCAACAGACTTTACAAGCTGAAAGAAGTGCGCCAGCTGGTCCAGCTGGATTCCCGAAATGAAGGAATCTTCAGATTCACGAGTACTTCAAGTCCATGGCATCCATAATGAATGTCCACCATGACGTGCGACCTTATAGTCCAAAAGTACGGTATCGTACATATTGGGAGAAAACGTCCGAACACCGTTGCGCAATGTTGCGCATCTCTCTTAGACATGTCAGTGCCGGGAGTTTGACGTTCAGTGTTCAGAACCAGTGGGCAAAGCGAGCTTCTGCCCTGTCACATCAGCGCTTGACCAGCTTCCCTGTTCCTCGCAGCACCGTCCGAAGGTTGGCACGTCCGTTCCATTGGGGCCGAAAAAGGGGGATAGGACCGGGGACCTTCCGCTCCGTTCGATGCCGACTCCACCGTCCGGGCCGGGCCCAGGGGGACTTCTGCCATCGCTCCGAGTCCAAGAGGACCACATCGCTGCACAGTTCGATGTAGAGAGGCCAGGCCTCGGTGCGGAGGCCGCCGCAGGTGCTCAGAACGCCGGCGCCGAGCCCAGGTTGGAGATCCAACAGGTCCAGGTGATTCGTCCGGAAGACATGCAGACATTCAAAGGAAAGCCCCCCTCACATGGCGAGTCGGACACAGGATGATCTGTACTCAGGTGACCCAACAAACAGAGTGACTCTGACTCATGAATCCGACTAAATGTTGGAATTGAGACTATCTGGTTTGGAGACCTCTGGTAGCACCTTCCAATGGCAGGCGATTCTTGGAAGCTACGGTGCACAGCAGCTCCGCTAGCTCCGCCTGTGGTAGACCACATGAAGGAGGTGTATGTACTAAAGACCCAAAGAGAGCTCTGGTTGTTGATTCGATCTATTCCTATCATGTCCAATCTATTTCTTGGATGCATCGCTTATCCTCTTTGATTATGAGCGATCCGTCGCCCTGTTTGCCTGGCCAGCACAGCACAAACGATTTACCAACAAAGGTGAACCCCTCTGCGAATCGGTCTTGAACGTCTGGTCCTGGTCGTCTCTTCGGGACGTCGAACGTCCTATGTAAGGGGGCGTTCTTTTTCCTACGACGGCCGCACACATCTCTTGTGACGTCTTCGACCACGTCCCTGTGTGCCACGGCCACGTCCCTGGCACCGAGAATTGGGCGCTTTTTGGCGCCGTTTGAACTCGGGTGCCCAGCACACGTCGCCGCGTTCAGCGCCGTGGGCGGGCCCTGAGAGAGGGCCAAGACGACCGAACAGGACGCGCTGTGGCTTCAACTCAGCGAAAATGGCCGTCATCCGAAAAGAAATGACCACATCGGAACAGACCACACCGTCATCGGAACCCGCCTTGGCCACAGCTCCCGGCAAGAGGAAATAGACCGGTCGTGGCGCCAGGCGCCTCAGTAGAGCTCCGGTGTGGTGGAAGCCCTTCCACCAAGCCCGCTGAGGCGCCAGCTTCAACAGCCATGCTCCAAACTTGCCTCGGTGGTTGGCAGCCCCAGGCTGGCTGTGCACGGAAACCCGATCCACAAGGAAAACTGAGAAAGGAGAGGCAGTGCAGGAAGTATAATCTATATATCTACGACCCAAACTAAAATGACTAAGAACCTGCGCAACCTGACAATGTAGTGTGCTGGGGGATGTGCTGTGGGTGGAAAGCCTTGTCACACCAACGTTCTGAGAGTCAGGGTGTCGGGGGACTGTTCCATACTTCTGCAGTACAGTAGCATTCCTATATTGGTTGATCACTAGTGACTAGTGATAGGAGAAAGCAGTCGATCAGCATGAGCAATGCTCCTGGTACAAGTGCTCTTCTTCCTGACCTGAAATATCTGTGCAGTGCTGCATTCCTGCCTGTTCAGAGGTGTCACAGGAATGAGAACTAGAGTGTTTGCCTGCTATCCACTGCTGGACTCGGAAACCAGTGTGTAAGTATGATTGGTCTGAGACTACTTCATTTCTGTCCACCTGCTCCCCCGTACCTTGCCGAGTAGATCAAAGAACATATGTTGGTCGAAATTTGCACCAAAACGGAGCTAGAACGCGATATTCTTGGCTTCTCACATCCTTTATACTTACTTTTCTACAGATCTCTCTACCCTTTTTCCTGGAGCGAACCAACCCCCCGCCTAGTCTCAGGAGCTCGTCGTGCCGCATGTCGGCCTTGGAACGGGTCCGAGGTCCGAGGTCCGAACATGAAGCGAAGTCGAACGTCGGGACCGACCGACCCATGGTCCAAAGAGGCGACCGGACAAACGGACGCGACGGACCTGGTCATGGCAGTAGCACTCCCGGTGTCGAGTGCCACCCCCCCGCCAGCGGGGTCTGTTCCGGTCTTTCCAAATTCGGCGCTCGAGGCGGGTGAAATCATTCTTGAAAGGGAGTGCCTTCTACAGTATTCTGGGTCCCATCTCAAGATGAGACCCTTGAAGATCAGGTCATGATTTCCAGATATCTCGATGTGCCAGTTTGCCGCATTGAGCACAGCGAACTTCAGAGCGTTGCCCAAGTTCGCGAATTTCTGACACCACACACAAGTCATGTTCTGCCTGCAGCTGAAACCTTCAGCTTTCTGAACTGTTGATCACAGTCTTTGCCTTGGAAACACTTCCAGTTGCGAAACAGACTACGTATACTATTGTCAATTATACATCAATATACTGAATTTGCTCCTCCCGTTGCACCGAGCCCAATGGGTTGCCACCTCGTTTCAACTCAGCCTGTCTCGCGCATGTGCAAGAAACCACCCCAAAACCCAAACCGCGCCCCAAAACCTTGCCCCAGGTCTTCCGGAAACTCTTCGATGCGTCCTTCCTCGCTGACCACGATGCGAGCGAATACGGCGAGGTCCCGTGGCGCGGGTCGGTTTTGGTTCCCGTCGCTGCCCTTGTAGCCGGGGTCCGAAACTGCAATAGAAAAGGCAAAACAAACAGGATGGCCCCCAGATCAACTTCAACCACAGTGATTTGAGCTGGTCCTTGGAATGGAAGGTCGACCCTCCATGTTTAATACCCTTTCAAAGTGGATCAAAATGGTGCGATCGGAGGCCAACCTGGCAAAAAGCGCGGTTCGCCCAATCCTATACCAGTCCCAACACTCGTGCGTGTGGCACGTGGCGCAAGACGCACGAGGAGATGACTCGGTCAACTCCCTCATCCCTCCCCTCTGGGGAGGATGGGAGCAGGAACTTGGAACGCATAAAGGCTCATTAGAATGGAGTGGAGAGGTGCCGTCTTCGGGTGAAAAGACACTGCTGAAACAGGTCTTCTCCCATCAGGATGGAATTCTTCATCGGACTGTAGGTCGAGAGACCGAAAAGGCTTTGCGGCTTTCATGCAGTTGCTTCGGCAAACAAGTGTTCTGTCGGTGCTGAGGAAGTTCCCAAAAAGGGACTCGTCTCCCGCAGTCTCCTGTATGACTTTTTGGCACTGCAAACAGTTAAACATGGTCAAGAACCCTCTTTTCCAGGTGTGTCCAAAGAAGAAGGGAACAGTGAGATTTGCGGGGTGATTTGCAAAAAGAGTGTCCACTTTCATGATCTACCCAGCTCTGCAACTCCCCCCCTCAGCTCTACCAGAGTGTTTTCTCCACTCGGGCGACATCTCCAGATTTCCACGCACTGTGGATTTTTGTCTGGGATTGCCAGCCGACAACCCGACAGGTTTGTTGGTCAAATTCACATCCTCTAGATCCGCTTGGCGTCCACTGGGCAGGAGGGCCCTGGCCACATTCTGTAGAGCTTCATCTTAGGTTGGAGGCCATTGCTACTAGGTTGGAGGCCATTGCTACCAGGCTCCAAGAGCAAAGAAGATGAAAGAAGCTACTTACTCATACTCGATTCGTGTTCCTTCTTCCCAACTTCTCTTCAAAACGCTTGACCGGTCACATTCGCACTCACTTCGCCTCAATGGATACCCAGTTGCGTCAACAGCGCCAGAACCGAGCCTCGACGGGTGCCGACGGATTGGGCTCCTGTCCCAGGCCCCGAAAAGAAGGTCGGGAGGTCAGTCCCCATGGCAGCCACCCCAACCATCGAACCTGAGGATGTGGTTGGAGGCGTAGGGAATGTAGACTCTTGATTATAATTAGTACAGAAGAACATTTGAGGAGGCTTTGCAATCCAAGTGGGGGCCGGAGGTTGAGTCTAATGAGAATAGAGAGCTCATTCCCTCCTTCCCTACTTAGCACTACTCTCACAAGAGCGAAGCCTGAAGGAGGTGTTGCCTTCAAGAAACGCTTCTTCCGTCAGCCGAAGTGCCGCGGAAATAAGGGTGAAAACAACTCGCAACTGAACCAACGTCCCGCCTTCCCCCACCATGTCCACCTGCTCCACACGTCATACCTTCCCCTTTTTCCCTCCATTTCCCCACCTGCAAAAATGCCAAGAATAAGGCCCAGCTCCATGATCACTCCTGCCCGATGCTGCTCATCCGGATGCTGCACCTGCCGCAACGCGGTGACCGCCCTATTCGCTGGCGGTGTCACGCCCAGGAGGCGCGCCCAGTGTCTGGGCGGTGATCGCGCCTCCGCTCTGGGGGGACGAGGCGTGGATGTTCTGGAAGGTGTTTGCCTACTACAAACCCCGTGTAGCTCGCTGAGACCAACTGTTTCAGCTTGCTTTCTCATTGTCTTCTCCAAGTTTTCGTGCCGTCCGCCTTTGGAAACGCATGCTCACGCCCGCACACACGTCGCATCCACCCATGTCGGCCGTGTCGCGCCTGCTGAGGCCCGTAGATCATTGACAGTGTGCTGCACCAGCCATTGGAGGCAGCAAAGAGTGCCATCGTGGCGAAAGCGAGGTAGTCCTCAATCGGAGGGGCGGGGCAGGCGACGGGGAAGGCCATACCAACAGAGGTTGAGTGATGTTGAAGGACCCTATAGACGTCTTTAGGTAGCTCAGTCCCATAAGGTCACTTCACCTCTCAAGAGGTATGGCTGTGGGCACAAGGAGACCGAGAAGGCACACCGGCGACCAGCGGAGCGCAGGGAGTTCGGGGCACGGTTTGCCAGGGACCGAGTGGTGTTTTCGGGAGCTCGTGCTGGGAGGTCGTGCCGCCGCGGGCTCCGTCCAAATAGACCCATCTGCGATGTTTTGGATGAGGGAATTCTTTTTTTCATGAGGATGAGGAAGAAAAAGAGAGGAAAAGGGATGAGGATGTGCTGGTTTGGGTTTGTCAGACCATAAACCAAAATGCAAATGACATCTTTGGTTTCAGTTGGACTTGTGTGCTGGCTTTGGGGTTTTACATATAGTACGTGTTTATGATCTCGTCTCGCAAATCAAGGAGTCCTGCGAACCATCCGCGGGCCAGTCCTATACCCAAATCAAATTCGGACCTTCCTCTCTTCAGTGTCACCCCGGATGTGTCTCCGCGCCTGCCAGGGGGCTGGCAGAGAGCCTGGGTACCTCTGCAGCAGCATGAACGCCTCGGAGTGGGGACCGGTCCGGAGCGAGGATTGGGGTCCCGGGCTCCAATTCTGCGACGAAAACCTGAGGAGTTTCTCGATGGAAAAAGAAGGGCGCGCGAAATGAGAGAAGAACACAAAACAGCATTCGATACTACTAAACCAGGACTTGGGGGGGGAGTTCATTGAAGAACGAATGCGTCGCACTTGAACGATGAACACCCTGCAACTTCTGGCTGGTGAGTTGCTGCCACTGGCATGATCATTTTGGACATGTGAGAACTTTTAGGAGCCATGCTACTGATGATGAGTCGGGCAAATGATTCAGAAACACCCAAGGGCGGCTTGCAATTCATCCAATTTAAGGCATCATCTGTTGATTAAAGTGGCCTCACTCTTCAGGAAGCCCAAGGGCTTTTGCCAACAAAAATAAGAACAGCGTCAACATGCGTCAACCAAAAACTATTTGACGGTGATAAGAAAAATTGAAAAGAAAGTGATTTGAAACAGAAAAGAAAGAAACACACACACACACAGTGAGCAATGAAAGGAAAAAGGGACTAGGGAAAGGACAACAGCAGCAGGACCGGCGACACAAGCGTTCTTGACCAATGGATCATGAGGCCAGCGGACCAGGAAAGGGACCAGGGCACCAAATGACCAGGGGACCAATGGACCAAGGGACCAATGGACTAGGCGACCTAATCAGGATTACCTTTTTCTGTCCTGTTCTTATTGTTTTCATTGATCCTGTGCTTAGTTCTGTTGATCCCCTTCTTGTATTCTCTTTTGATCTATATAGAGGCCCCTCCTGACGGCCGCTTCCAGTATCTCTACTTCAACTCTTTGATCCCCCACATACCAAAATGAGCTTCAAAGAACCAGCCTAAAGACCCATCCTCCGAAGACCAGAACCACGTTCAACGCATCGCGGCCACACGGGCCAGCCCAGCGGCAGGGATGAAGAGACAGCGCAGCCACACGGGAATGAAGAGTCGCGAAGCCGAGATCCCGATCTTTTCAAGGGCCTGGCACGTGCGAACCACAAAGCCAAGCCCAGAGAGGAGAGGGTGAGTCAGCGAATCCTCCTGACCTGCGACCCTAGACTCAGCGCCCCACCAAAATCGGTCACTTCTGTTGCCAAAAGAAGGACACCTTGTGCGATGTCCGATCCCCAGACCTCAGAGACCAAAGACCACCTCGCAAAAAGAAGTCTACATTGGCTATACCATTCAGTCTGTCAATGAGAATCTTTCATGGACGGGTCAGGGGAGAGCTCTTGAAAGATCTGGACTTCCATTGTGCGCTCCAAACCGCACGGCTCCACCGGACGCCGGTTTCCGCGGCGCGCTTTCCGGCGCTTTCCGCGGGCCTTGGGAGTCGATCGCCCCACGACGTCGAAGATTTGAAAAATGCCCACCACCAACGTGGTGTACCAGTCCTGGCCCAAACGACCTGGGCGGCCATCGGGACCTACCGCGGTCGATTTGGGAAGGGCTGGGGTGGAGACTTGGAATGGACCAAAAACCGGGCCTGGCCTTCGGTCGTTTTTTTGTGGAGGCCCGCGCCCGCGAAGAGAGAAGAATCCCAGCAAGACAAGCGTGTTTCAACTGGGAGATCGCCATTAGTTGGAGATGACAAAAGAATTGTTACAGTAGTTCTTAGGCAACACACAACTTGGCTCCAGCTCCACTGCAAGCGTGTTAGTAACTACACAACTGACCATGTACAGCTGTGTAGCTGATCCATTTCTTACCTTGTTGCCACAGAACTAACAACTACCAGCACCACGGAAAGGGCTGTTTATGGACACCCCTGACTATGTATTGTCTATTTAAGTCTATTTCAATAATAACCACCCCTTCCGTGGTGCTGGTATATAACTGTACTACTCCCAATCCCACTGGCACGTAGCCACCCCACGACCGTCGGAGGTCCCGCACCTTTGCTGGTAAAGAACTCCAGCTGCGGCGCCCAGGAGGCCGCCACGCCCGGGAAGACGACAAAGGTCACCTGACGCTCCGGCGTCCGTGGACGGACGGGGAGTTGGTCAGATCTGCGCGGAGAGAAGAGATGTTTGGGATGCTTGGAGCCATGCGCAAAGCATGCGCAACAGTTTGGATGTTTGGAGATCGCAAAGATGAAGCTCTGCCAAACATTTTTCAAGAGACTCGGGTCGATTATTTTTTTCAGAGAGTCTCTCCATGTTTGTTTTTCTGCTTCTGCAGCCCCCAGCAGGTGCGAAAGCAAAGCCAATTATCCCATGACGAGACATTCCTTTTCGAAGGCGCCACGAAGATCATGCAGATGTTCACCAGCTGCGGCCACACGTCCTGGTGCTCGAACGGTGTGAAGCTGGTTGAAGCTGGCTCACCGGTCGCAGCTGCAGCTGCAGGGTGCTTTGGGGGAAGGCAAAAAGGCCGCTTCAGCCGAAGAAACGACAACGGCAAGAGAACCTGAATATAACACCAGACCATCTCGCATCCGCGGTGGAAAACACCTCCAAAACCACCGTGGTGTAACACGAAAACAACATGAAAAAAGACTGCAAAAAATCCGTGCTGCTAAGAATGTCTACCTTTCTTTCACATGAACCCTGGTCGACCCTTAAACCGCCTCCGGCAGCTCAACACGCGGCCATCCCTCGCAAAAGCGTAAACAAACCCAACAACACCCCACACCAATGGCCACACCACCTCACCCCGCTTCCCCCACACACCACCTTGAGACGGCCCCCGACGCCCGCGCCTGGAGCACGGCCGACAGGTTCCTCTCTGTCCGGAGGAGCCGTGCCGAGTCGATCGATCTCGCGGAGGCCGTCGAGGTGAAGGAGCCTCGCGGACCCGAACCGTTCGCTCGACCGGTGGCGCGTGTGGTGCGGACCCGTGGCGTGGAGCACACGCCCCAAGTGGGTCCGAGACGGGTGGATCGAGCACCGGTGGAAGCTGTTTCGTCCGAGGCAAAAGACGATCATCTCGGGGTGCTTCTCCCGAAGCCTGGGGCCGAATCAAAAGCCCGGAAGACGCACTGCCGGAATTCTTGACAAGTCCTATCTTGGAGCCCTGGCCTAAACATCCGGCATCCGTTTCGCCGCATGGATGAATCTGGGCCATGGATTTCAGCCCCAATCGTCGCGAACGCAAGGAGTCTCTGGCTCAACCAACTCACTTTGTAGGTCAACCAGAGGCTCGCTGCATCGCTTGGAGGCCAGGTTCGCTACGAACGTCACAAGGCACCCTTTTGGTTCCCATCCTTGGACCGCCCTGGGGCCAGCCATGGGACCAGCCGAGTCCGACCGAGTCCAACTCTCTAAAATCCTCTCCCAGAGGCGGACCACATCCACCATGGTGGCTTCCGCCAAGCGATGGTCCTCGAGGCACAAAAGAGGCAAGCAAACAGAAGTGATGAATGTGTTTCTGGTGATGTTTGTTTTTGACTGGGCCGTGGCTCTCCAGCACCAAAAGTGGACAGAAACAAAAAAAAAGGTCGAACCAAACAAACAGACAGACAAACAAACAAAAACGTGTAAGGACTCTTACCAATAAGAATGTGTCTAGAGCTTGCAGGGAACAACCGTTCAGGGCAACCCTCGAACCTAACACTATGTTATATCATGTCCAGATCGTCGAAGTAACTGCCCTGCCTGATGTGAAGTGGGGACGTAGCGCACCACGAACAAGCCAAGCACTTGCATGGCAGCGCAGAAGCCGAAGAATCCAAAGACCACCTAGCTGAATTGATTGACTTGGTGGACTCAACTTCTTCCAAATCGGCACTCTTGCTTCAGACTTCCAAAGCGTCCCAACAAACTCTGCTAAGAAAGCGCTCTATAATATATATATATATATATATACATGTGTATATATCTATAGAGCCTGGTACTTCCACTGCATGGGATCACCCGAGAGGAACTTCAAGGACAGCATGAGCACCGGGCAGACCACTCCAACAATTCCTGCGGCGTCGGTGGAGAGATCCCGAGGGTGGTGGAAAGATTCACGAGGATCACAGTACCAATCAAGTCATTCTCAAGTAGATATGTTTGGGAGCAATCCAATAGAAACACTTACTCCTCCCAGCTTTGGTTCATCTATTTCAGGCTGACTCTACTTAGTGGATTTCAGGAAATCATAGGAAATCACCACGAGCAAGTGTATGGAGATGTTCAGATAACCCACTTGGAGATGACCAGCCTCCACTCGCTGTTGGGAAGACGTTCTGTTCGGAAGGACCGTTGCAGCAGCGACGTGAAGGATGGAACCACCGCAACAACCGCAAGCGGTCGCTGCATTGGGAGAGATGGATGGAAGCCACTTGGTGTCCTTTTGGCTTCACTTCTTTGGAGGCCTCCGGAGAGATTCTTGTTGGGAAAAGAGGGGATCAGCTCCAGCTACTGTAGTAGGTTGAAGGCCATCGCTATTGGGTTGGAGGCCATCACTATTAGGTTGGAGGCCATCGCTGGTAGGTTGGAGGCCATCGCTGGTAGGTTGGAGGCCATCGCTGGTAGGTTGGAGGCCATCGCTGGTAGGTTGGAGGTTCAACCAGAAGACACCCCTGGTGTGATCAGCAGCCAGGGGCGTAAACACCGGCAGGGCGTTCCTTGAAGAGGGTTGCTTTCTTCCGGTCGATATATATATATATATATATATCCAAGCTGAGCACCACTGCTCTGATCCAACTCTGGTGTGATCCCAACGATCCATGCGGTTGGAATGTCCGTGGGTAGCTCCCTTCGCACCCGCTTCGACGCACTTTTCTGGTCGGACGCACCTCATCTTGAACGGGCTTCAAACTGGACAACCAGGAGCCTAAATCACAAAACCACCTGCGCTTGACTCACTTCTTGATGGTGCCCTTGAGCACAACAGTGCCCTCATCAAGGCCGTACTTCTTGATGACTTTGCGGTCATGGAGCATGTCAAACTCCTCCGTAGCGTCCTTGCCCGCAAACATCATGATGCTCTTCTTTCCACCAGGGTGCTCACCTTGCCGGCTCACAGTCTCAAAAAATCTGCCACACAAGTGCTATTCAGAATCGTTGTGCTGAGACAGCCCTCCTTGACAAATGATTCAAACACAATGATTGTAGGATCAACAGGGGCCCATGATCTTCAGTAACAATAACTCCTTCTTCGTCCTACTGCCAAAACAAATCAATACAGTGATTCATGATCCGCGAGCATTCCGCTTTCCCAAGGATCCCACTCAAGAAGTTCGTGACATCAAGCACTTGATCACCCACGATGACCCAACAGTCGTTGTCCTTGTTGTGCTTTGCCACCTCTTCGGCACTCACAGACATGCTGACTACTGAATCGCGAACGAAGGTTACTGACGCGAATAGCTGAGCCAAAATGAGCTTCGCGTCTCCCAAACTCCGCCTAGCCATTTTTGCCCTGTGCTGGTTTTGATGTGGCCCAGGTTCGATGCAGTGCCACTTCAAGCAATCTGATCTTTGCCTTTCCAAACTGCCACACCTCACGACCCAACGACCCTTTGACACTCACGGTCCCCATGCGGACTCCCGGTCCTTGTCCAGTCATGATGGCCCCCATGAGCTTCGGGTCTCCCATGGAGCCCGCGAGGCCACAAATCAAACTCGTGAAGCAACTTTCCGCCAAGCCCAACACCTATGACCACACAGCAGTCACTGCCACTGTCACTGTCGTCACTGGAACAATCAGCGCGAAAGCGAAGGTCTTTCTCGCAAAGGTCTACGAAGGGTGGGGAAGGACTGCAGAATTCGAAGCTGTGAAGAAATGCACGGAAGGATCCAGTGGATGGAAAGGGGCTGCCCTCTATGGGCACCTCGTTGGGCGTTAAGTAGCACATGTTGGAAGTAGGGAAGAGAAGAAGGAAGGTGGTAGGAAGGTGATCACACCCACAACCGGCCTTCAGCCAATTCTAAATGCTCTAGGGAGTCCAGGGTAAGTGCATGGACGGTTTCTCCACTGCCCCGGAGTCCCGACATGTCTTGGGTTGGGCTCATGGGATGTACCCCTTCCATCAATGATAAACATCCAACCCACATGCGTTTACAATCCCACATGCCATTGCCCAGTTTGTCTACATATACCTTGCTTGTTCACTTCACTACTGGAGGATGATTTTGGCGGCAAAACAGTGACTGCCCCATCGGATGATGGCGGAACCAAGACTGGGGCAAGAACCTGGTTTGGACCCAAACCTGTGCAAACGTTTATCCTGCGACCTTCAGCATTGGCAACTGTTCAATCATCACCACAGGAAAGTGCCACACAACATCCACAAACTGTCCAAAGCCCCCCTGCAAGCACTCCCCAGTGACACGGCAGTGACACGGTGCACTTTCACCGGGTCACGGCGCAGCAACAAAGAGCCGCCGCAAAGCCCCAGGTCGAGGGGATGACCTCCTCGCCATGAACCTGGCGACCGGGGTCGTCGGTCTTTATTTCGCTTGTCTTTCGTCTTCCGAGATTTTGCGGGGGCTTTTCATGGGAGTATGGACAGAAAAAGAACATGTTGTAGCAGCGGCGGTCGCACGAAAGGGCAAAACACCTGCGCGGCACGGACGAACGACTGAAACGTCACAAGGCTAATCGCAGTCTCGGGCCAAACAAAATCCGGACACCAAGCTCAAGGCCAGTGCACCCTCAGCGTTCAATGGGTGGAAGGCAAATGACCGGACATCAGAGAAAGTGTACATCTTAACCAACTCAAGTTGCTCTGTCACACAAAGCTTTTGATATGCCATCAAGGTTATGAACATAGAGGGCTTCTGAGATGCCATTAGGATTGCAACCACCACGCTGGCAGTTTCTTGCTTCAACATACATATATCGGATGCGCAGTCTGCCATACACCACGAAGGCTGCGTGCACGAACGGCGTCTCGCGAACCTGAGCCTTTGTTCAAACCATCGCGCAACATGTCGCGCACGTCGATCCAGGTCAACCTACTTGCTATCCTTAGTGACAAGATCTCCTTGAGTTCGAGCGCGTGAACCAACATTAGCTTGTCAGTTGTACTTTTGGTATCTGCCGCAGCAGAACCATTGAGTGCAGATCTGGCATCGATGATCAGGTCTGTCTGCAAGGCATTTTCGCCAGCCTCCTGGATCTGCGCCAGGGCTGTTCTTCCACCACCAAGAATCTCAGTCATCGCCAAATTGGTCAAGTTTGCGAGCGCTATCAGGTCTAGGGGGTAAAGCTGTGCTGTGAAAGGTGCTGCGATTCTTCTTCACAATCCCAAGCCAATGGGGGTTCGCCATGAGTATGCCTGAGGTTGTCTCTACGAACACGTCCTGTGCAACCAGGACAGGCGTATGTGGGATATACAAAAGAAAACAGATTCAACAAATCTGCATTCTTGCAACACAAGATCTGGCCAAGCGGATGCTATGGCAAAATCAAAGGTCCGCTTTCTCTCAACTCCAACTTCATGACCATTGTGCCTGGGGAGCACTTGCTTTCAACACCACCCGGTCCAGGGAGGACCAACAACTTACCATGTGTGCGCGTGTCGATCAAAGCCTTTCTGAATGACTTCAGGCCTAGCAGCAATAAAAGTCGACTTCCAGGAGTCACAGGCGACGTGTACCTGCACTGATTTGCGAGCTGAACCCAAGCTTCTTGAGAACGCTTGCCAACTCCGCTAACATGGCTGCATTTCTTCCCACCGTGGATATCGCCGTAAGAGGCATCTGCATCACCAGACTCTTGCGGTTCTGAACATGCGCTAGATGATGTTGCAACCGGCGGTTCCTTCTGGTACGAACTAGATTGATTAGCTATCCGACCTGCGCTTCGAAAAATTTTGCTACAACTGTGACAACTGCAATGTCGTGGCTTGCTTGGCTTGGAGCTGCTTCTCATCCTTCTTGCGGTCTGGAGAGGAGACAACAGCCCGGCTGCTCACACTGCTTGATCATCAGTAATCGACTTTTCCGTCTTGGCGGAAGTCGCCATCAGACCTGCCAACAAACGTTCAGTGGCTTGGTCAACAGTACTGTTCACAACAGTGCTCATAATGTTCAGCGTTCCAGTGGTGATGGTTGTCGTCCACTCACTGGTTTCATGTTGCCGAGTCCTCTTCAAATTCATTTCATGAGAACTTGGAGCAGGGGCGTCGGATTGTCTTCAACGTCAGGTTCAATCACTCAACACAAAGGTGACTGGACGCGGCACTGCGCAGCGATTCCAAACTCGTCGAACAGTCCTCTTTCAACTGAGCCACTGGACAGGGACGAACTGGCGGTGCGTCACAGGGTCTGAGGGCGCAGCACCTGCTTGTGAAGAGAACTGCAAGTTGGCTGTTTCTATGGATGTCATCATTGCTGCTGTACTTGTCGTTGGGTTGCCGGTGTCAGGCTGAGGGCAACGCTTAATTAGTGATCCGTGGCCCCATACCGATGGTACTGCAACGGTTTGCCATCACGGCCACGTGGATTCTCGAGATGTGGACTTACCGTCGCCTAGTGATGTACCAGGTCCACGATGCACAGCGAATGCATTAAAGGAGGCAGGAAGGACGCCATACCTCTGAAGCCTATGTTGGTTGGAACGCCGATGAAACTTGTTGCGATGATTTCGGCGGTATCTTCGGGGTGGTCGCCAGAAAACCTCCGCCATCTACGCTTTGCTGTGAGGTAAGCCCCATACAAACCACAAGCTTGGTTGTTTTCATCATCACTGGTTCTGCATCTCCCTCACCGTCGTCTGATGAGAACTCGTCATCCATGTAGAACACGGCGCAACGAGAGCATTGCTGCTCTTCTTCAGTCAACTGCGTAGCGGCAAAGCTGGACACATCAGCACGACTGGTTGCGGACTCTCAGACATGCTGGTTAGTCACACCTACAAAGGGCATACCTCCATAATCGGTGCTCGAATGTGGGGGCGTAGTGGTATGTAGCGACAAGGCGGCAGCGGCAGCCAAGAGCGAAATCATGAAGGGAGACAAGCTTCACAGACAAGGCAGCAGCGGCAGCCAAAAGCGAAATCATGAAGGGAGACAAGCTTGGGAGACAAGGCGGCAGCAGCAGCCAAAAGCGAAATCATGCAGGGAGACAAGCTTGGGAGACAAGGCGGCAGCGGCAGCCAAGAGCGAAATCATGAAGGGAGACAAGCTTCACAGACAAGGCGGCAGCGGCAGCCAAGAGCGAAATCATGAAGGGAGACAAGCTTGGGAGACAAGGCGGCAGCGGCAGCCAAAAGCGAAATCATGAAGGGAGACAAGCTTCACAGACAAGGCGGCAGCGGCAGCCACGAGCGAAATCATGAAGGGAGACAAGCTTGGGCAACAAGGCGGCAGCGGCAGCGGCAGCCAATTTCCGCAATCAGGAACCCATCCATTGAGAAGTAAGAACCCCTATAGCTTCGCTATCCATTGAGAAGTAAGAACCCCTATAGCTTCGCTATCTGGGGAAAAAACAACGGGTTCATTGGGCCGGCGACAAAAGCCCATGAGTTCAGCCATTATTGCTCTCGCTGCCCATTTTCCCACACACCACCTCGCAGCTGCTGTGACGCGAACGAAGTCGCGAGCCATGCCCGTGATCACCATGATGGCTATTGTTGGGGCCTGCCGCTCAACATCAACGTCAGTGGCATTAGACCGCTTGACAACATCAAAGTAGCTGCGTGAGTTCTCATACACACCAATGTCGTGAGTGAAATTCTATCGTGGTCCTGGACCTTGGTTGAATCTGTGCGCATCCATTCCTTTAACTGATGCAAGAATCAAAAAACCTCCAGCCAAGCAACACGAAGAACAAATGCAAACGATGCCTTAGTGACCATGCCACTCTACGCACTTCACGCGACAACTGACGAACTGGATTTGTCATGGATCTCAGCTGTTCTGGGTCTGCATATACCAGCTGAAGCGCTAACAGCAGAGGGAGTTTATTGCACTTGTTCATTTGCATGGCTATCCGAAACATTCACGGTCCACACACGGAAGTGGCTCCGTTTCAGGCCCATCATGGGCGCTGATGCTGTGTGAGTGCCTTCAAACAAAAAAGCGGATCATGAAGTGGATTTATCTTCTTGACCTCTTCGTCATTGGGCTCAAATATTGTGACTGCGGGCTCGAACAACGATGTGACATCTGCTTCGTCTTCAAAGTCTTCTACCATCAGTCCCGAGGCACGCAAGTGCACAGGGCAACTGACTAGCTCGCAGGTCCATCTGCAACACCTGCTGCAGCTGCTCAGTTCAGCCCCACTTTCATCATCAGTCCGTGACTTCAACCAAGCCGTTTGGATCAGTTCTGCTAGCTTGTCAACATCTTTTGTAAGGGTGGTCGAATCAGCCAGCCTGGTGCTGATAGTGGTCAACAGCGTTGGGTTGTCAACAGCCTGAAAGTCATCGGACTTGGCCACCATGGAAGTGGTCAAGGGTGAGGACTTTAGTGAAGGTTGCACCTCCTTGTTATGGTCCTCATTTGCTGTCGTCGTCGTGGCCAGAGTAATGCTGTGTGTTGTAAGGACCTCCGTGGAAGTAGCCAGAGACGTGGTGTCTGTTGTGAACATGTCAGCTGTAAAGGCGAAGCTTGCAAACATTGCATGCGACACGCCAACACTGCAGAGCACATTCTTGGTTGCTGCCTCAACACTACTTGGCGAGAAGAAGAATCCAAGGATGAAGATGCAGCAAGGAGCAAGAGCCGTAGCTCCGCTACCAAGTCAAATCGACGGCCAGCGACGTCCCAACCTAACCATCACCTGCAAGTGAAGCGAAGCAGCGGCAGTCGTACGAAAGGGCATAGCACATGCACGGCAGGGACGAACGAATGGATGCAAGCAGTAAAAGGAAGACCTGAAAGGTCACAAGGGGCTAACTGCAGTCTCGGGCTGAAGGATACCCGGATGCCAAGCTCAATGCCAGTGCAACCTCAGTGTTCAATGGATGGAAGGCAAATGACTGGACATCAGAGAAAGTGTACCTCTTAACTGACCTGACCACGGTCTCGACCACCAGATTGGTTTGGCGGCGAGATTGGCGGCGCAGACCGGCTATGAAAGAAATCCTAAGGCATCAAATAGACACTGACCTTGGGATTCACGGTTTCATGCCCTGGCGGTCAATTTGGGAGGGCTTGGGACCAATAGGCAGTCCATACCCTAGAGTTTGGCCTCCAAAAGAATCAGAAAAGCAGTGTCAAAGAAAATCTTTGAGGGATGATCAGTCAACCAGCGATCTGCATGGCAAAGTAGCGACTTGGAAAACCCCAGTGCTTCACGTGAGGAAAACAAAAAGAACCCCAGGTGCCCTTTGAAGTGAAATCTCTTTCATGACCTTCAAAACCTAAAAACCCAGTGGCAGCAGCCAAGCATAGCAAGGACACTACTAGGGGCTCCGGGCCTTGCTATTAGTAACAAGAAGCTACGATCGGGGCTCCTGGCATCGCTACGAACGGAGCAAGGGCGTTCCAAGCCTCGACCGGTTCCCAGCGCCCCAGCGCGCGGAGCGCCCGACATGGGCACCTCCTTGGGGGACCAGAAGGCCAACATGGGCATCATTAGAATCATCACCATCTGGATGGTCAAGGACGTGAGGTAGGCCGCGCGGAAGGGCACCTCAAAGGAAGAAAAGGGCCGCTGGCCAACTGAAACGGGGACTTTAAATGAAATGACAAACACCTGTAACATCCCAAGCAAATGGAGATGGAACTTGGACGAGATTGTCACTTGGAAGGATGGGCTTGCTCCCACTTGCTCATTTTAAGAAAGCACCCTCGGTGTCGCACCTTCTGTCCCACCTTCACCATCGTCGAGGTCCCCAGCACATTCATCGCCTGCGTCCAGCGCGGCACGCGCGTGCCGCGGCATGCATCGCACGAGATCACACGGAGATGCACGGCACCTTTGGGGGGTCACCATGGCTTCCGAAGCCCCCTACAGAGTCCTACAGAGTCTTGGGAATCTCCAGCCAGGACATCCCCAACGGAAGGTCCGGGCACAAGCTTTTAAGGCCCTCAAAAACCACCAAGGTACATTGTCTCTTAACCTCTCAAGGTGTCGTCTCCAAATGGGTACGTATACGTATCTTGAACCTGCAGAGAAGTCACGACGAGCTTTGGGTCTAACTTGCCTCTAACCAGTTGCCGGATGTGGCCAACTGTGGTCGGTGTCCGCGTTTTCAAGCATTATGATGCATTATGCATATGATCTCTAGACACGCAACGGAGGCCAATGGATCAAATGGACTGGACCACCGGCTGTGGAAAGACCCCCACACCTGGTAGGTCATGGAGGCGACGAAGGCCCACTGGTACCCGGGAAACCACAAGGCAAAGAAGCCCACGGCGGTCAAGTAGAAGTTCCAGGCCGCCAGGGTCAAAAAACCCAACATCTGGCCGTTGCGAACGACCGGCCCTCGCGGGTGTCGTGGGTGTCGCGGTGGACCGCGTTGTTTTGGAAGAGCGAAGTCGATGATTGGGGGAGCTGGAGGATGTGTGAGTGTGATTGATTGAATGATTGATTGATTGATTGATTGATTGAATGATTGATTGAATGATTGATTGATTGATTGATTGATTGATTGAATGATTGATTGAATGATTGATTGATTGATTGATTGAGTGAGTGAGTGAGTGAGTGAGTGAGTGAGAGAGAGAGAGAGAGTGTGTGTGTGTGTGTGTCAAGGGCCTTGAGGTTCGGGATTGAAAAGGGATGCTGGTGAAACCAAACTGAAACTCCCATCTCATTTGTGGCCTGAAGATATCTAAATAATTCGATTTCGATCACTCTCCTAACACCCTTTGGCGCGATGGAAGTTAGATGAGATGACTACCCTCCTTCTCCAGCAAGTCTTCTCTCCATCCTCCCGTCCCCACCGTGAAGAGCGGCACCAGGCCCGTCATCGGCGGCCCAAAGCCTGCACGGCCATCCTCTACCTGGTGACGGGTGACATGAGCACGGAGAGTGGTCGGTAGGTTCATGGCAAGCAAGCAATGTCTTCCGATTTTCATTGGCCTTTTGCTTGAAACGCTCGAGAACACGTGCAGAGATCCCATCGCAACACGTCGACATGGTCACCGCCGCCCCGTTGTGGGTTGGGGGTCTTTCGTTGTGAGCCACATCCATTCTGGCGAAGAATTCTTTCAACATCAGGCTGTTGCTGTTCCCTCCCAGTTGTCATTCAATAAATCCGGTCCTTCCATGTCCTTCCTCTGTCGCTTGAAAAAGAATTCACTTATGGCCAAGGTGCTGATGCAGAACTGACAGTGCTTCCCGCAGTCATGGCCGAGAATCCTTTCTTTCGGCTCGAACTTCGAACTTCTCAGCTGCAACCACACAGCTCTGGCTATTTGGTCTAGGATCCTACATACTTGACATACTTGTGGGGGAGCTCTCGATCGTTTCAACTGCCATGCAGATTCCGACGAAGACCTTGTTATCCCAACATGCTTCATGATCTTCATGGTTTCTACTGAACTGGAGTTCTTCCAAAGTTGCTTTCAGAAGGCGAACAGGGACTTCCCCAAGTTTGCCTAAGGCCTGCATGTGGCAAACTTCTGTTCCGTGGACCCGTCAAACCAAGGCTCTCGACCCGTTGACCCGGTGATACAGTGTGGCACTCTACAGGCAGTGATCCACTGAAAACGTTCCATCCACCGATTCTACAACCTCTAGTAGACATGGTTGAACGTTGAAATATCTAAGAAGTCTCATCAATTCTACATCACTTCTTTCTGTGACCTTGTCTTCATCGACACTCGTGAAAAACGACCGTGGAGTTTCCTGGTCTCTTCTTACTTCGTCCCGGGCCAATGCGGGTGCCACACACCTGACGCAAGGAGCCAAGCGCAGCGCTCGGAGCCAAGCCGTGGCGCGTGGGGGGGAACTCATCATGCTTGGCAGAGCCGAGCAACTCAGACTGAAAGCAACAACAAGTGAGGTTTCTGACCGTACCTGACCCGGTCAGAAGACCCTGTACTGTAAGGGGAGAAGAAGTGCAAAACCATGTTGCTTTCCCGTGGCCGCCCTTGGCTGCCCCTGCTGCCGGAGACATCTGCGGACATCGGTCGCTCGGACAGAGTCAGAGTCCGGATGTCCATACACCGCGCCTGTCACGAGGCATTGAGATGAAGACCAGCCTTGAGCCCGGCGAAATCTTGGTGGCACTCACCACCTGGCAGGGGCCTCTTCTGTGCTTGAGGGGGAAGCACCATCTAAGAAGGGTCTAAGAAGAGTCTAGAGAATTGTCCATGTACTCTGAAATCTGTAGAAAAATGAAAGAGAACAGCGTCACAAAAAAGACACAAAAGACGAGCCAAAGGCCGACCCTCAGATCAAAGGCCGAGCGAAGCAGCCACCCCGTTTCACGGTGCGAACAGTCGCATCTTGACATACCAGCTGCCTTCCGTTCGGGGTCACCTGAGTGGTACAAGGTCCTCCACACCTACTCAAAGGTCTCCATTGACACCCATTGCAAGTGCTGGGTAAACAATGTCTCTCTTCATTTGCGACGGCGTGCCCACCCACCTCACGCGCCAACATCTGCGCGCCCTTGGGGTTCGCGGCGTTCGCGCGGCCAATGACCACCTGTTTCGGTGCGTTCCAAGCGCCGATCTCTCCGTCCCCTCCGCCGGTTATTGTGGTGTGCTTGCTGCAAAGGGGAGGGAGTCTACCACCTGACAGGGGCGACAAAAAAAAGGCAATACAAGTCTTTACAAAGACATGGGACCTCATTGGTGACGGCCTGGAGGAAACGAGAACTTCCTTTTTGATTTAGCCGGTGCAGGAGAATGTCCAAGATGGCCCCTTGCCTTTTTCGAAGCTACTATGTGTATTTGGTGGTCCTTAGTAGTTTGTCTTGGGCATCACTCGCGGGAGGCTGTGGACCCGTCACAGGGAAAACGAACCCCGCGCATGCTGAAGATCCTCTGTGAACCTGGTCCACACTTACTGTGAGCTCCACAAAAAAGATGACAAGCCCAGAAGCACCCCAACACCATGCGAGTTTCTCCATTGCAGAACATTCGTTTCTGCAAGATTCCTGCGGGAACCCCAATGTCTGCCAGCTGAAGCAAGGGTGAGGTCGTTCGAGAGCACTTACCGTGCTACATGTCTACTGCAAAGTGGCCATTTCTGAGAACTCATGGATGAACAGCCATGGATCACGCGTGTTCCTTATGAACATGGTGCCCGGTGCCCTCGAAAGAGACCTGGCGGGCCCTAGGGGCCCCAGGCGGACTTCGGAAACTTCTTCCCATAGTCCTGTGCGAAAGGACCACGGCATCTGATAAAGCCTCCCATAGCACCAAGGAGGAACCGGTCAGGCTGGCTATGACTCCAAGGAAGAAAGCCCCAAGTCAGCAGACCAAATGGACATAAATCCCAGGACCTGGTCATCCAAGCCCTGGTCATCCATGCCTGGATATGGGGCCTATCAAGCTCGGATTCTCTGAAGTGAACCATGTCGACACGGTGTCGACTTTGTTCATATCTCGTGTGGATTGAAGAACATGCCGAACATCCCATTGGAGTTCTTCACCCACTCGGTTCGTGTGTTTTGCAGATTGAGGAATGACATCCAGCAAAGCCGCAGGTTGGCTTGAACTAGGTCATGATGACTGATGACTTGCTCACATCAATCAGAGTCCTCCAAAGCACTTGCTGGCAGCACCTTGGCCGGCGGACGATGCTTTTCGCCGGGTTCCGGAGGTCTTTCGGGGCCGACCGTCGTCCGGCTCACCAATTGCACCGCTGGGTCAAGCCTGCTGCGGGATCCTCTTTGATGCGATTTTCGTGGATGCTCGTACTCTGCGTACTCTACCTCTCAGCCACAGAGAAACCATCCTCTCACCGACCCCAGTCTTTCTGGGCATTCAGGTCTGCGAACGAAACGTCGTGGACTCGTGGAATCACGTCGTGAATCCGCGTGAATCTGTCGAATCGATTCCAAAGGCTTGCCCCGGTACCAGTGCAGGCGTGCCCCCCCGCATGTTCCGGATGCAAGCCCGGGAAGAAATAGAACCCAGTCTGCCTCCTTGAACATGGTGTGCGAGGAAGAAAATCGATCTAATCTATGTGAAGCAAAATCTAAACTCCCACACGATGGATCATACTATATAAATTACACATTTACACTCCCTGGAACTAACATGGAAGTGGATGGCACCACCTGTTTGTAGAGGATTTCATGGTCTTCCTTTCGGGGCCATGGCATCCACGTAACCATGAGAGTTCCACGGAGTGTATGTGGACCACCGGCTGCAGGGAGTCTCTTCATCTTGGGCTGAAGCCAGCGTCCCGTCATGTCCCTGTGGGCCCCTACGATGGGGGGGTGGGAAGTCGAACTCCTCCACCGCCACCAAACGGTCCTCAACTGGCTTGATGTGAGGAGTTTGTGGTGCTGGATGCGAGCCAAGCTCGCGCGGAGGCCATTTTCTCATCGGTTGGAAGCGTTGTAGTGTGAAGACCACCCTGCAAACTCAGTATCTTGCAGTGGGGTCTTTGACAAGTCATGCCGGATACGCTTCAGGCAGAAGCCTGCCTTGAAGAGTAGACGTTGAGCCCATGAACTGAATGGAAGAACGACCACTCATCCCCCAAAGTTGGCGTCCGAAAGAAAAAGTCAGTGGCACAGCCTGCACTCCTCAGGCTTCGAACATTTTTTTTGCAACATCGAACTAAGCATCCCCCACCCTAGGAAAAAAGAAGGGATCTCGTTCCTGCATCAACCAGTGGTTTCGTGATTGGAATTTCTGTCGCGGACCATCAAAGAGATGTTTAGAACGCCAATCTGAGCCTATGATTCAAAACCTGTGCCCCTTGACCAAGCAAAACTAGCATCTACACAAATGCTCAATGCTCCTCCCCAAACCCAAACATGGTCCTTACCCATCCCCACTATCAGAACGATGATCGAACATTGCAGTTCTTGTTGATCAAAACCCACTGACCGCCGACCGCCCAGACTTCGCCGCAGACGAGCTCAGCTTCTGGCTCGAAGGCCGTTGGCGCTTCGGATCCGCTCCATCTGCACGGCATCGCCCGAGACCTTGGAGGTGTTCGATCAGGCAGGCAGACCACGCCCCCAGTGCCAAACCTTCCCCCCCCCCCAGTGCCACCCGCCTTGGAGGACTCGTACTTGGCCACCAGCTCCACGTTCGCCGGCTTCGCCTTCACGTGTCGTCCTGGGCACAGCGCCCATTCGGTGCCCGAGAACGGGTCCGGTTCCCACCGGAACCCGGCGCCACGTCCGCGGGGAACGAAGTGACCAGCTTCGAGGCCAAAGCTTAGAGAGCTGGGGTGAAGAAATCCAACTTAAAGGCCAGCAAAGGCATCGTGAACGATGCCACAGTTGCCAGTGCCAGTGCGAATGAGAAAAAATAAGATGTGCAAGGGCCGGTGGAGAGACCCCCTATGGATGATTATGAGGAAAAGGACAGCGGGGAGCTGATCATGCGTTCGGACTTGCAGTTCTCTGTTAGGGCCGTCGACGCATGTGGTTTCACACGCTTTCCACTGTAAAGAAGCAGTATGCAGTATGCCACTTGCAACCCTAAAACGAAAGCTCGTCCGTTTTAGATCGGGCACTTGTACCTATCGTGGGCAGACTGGGGCACCTGAAGCTGTAGCTGGTACCAGACCATCTGAAGACAGGACTTCAAGTCCGTACACCTCCGCACAAACCAAGTGTCTCCTGGAACCCTACTAACAACACCTCCGTAGATTGGCCCGTGAAAGATGCGGCGATTGACTCGCGCGCTGCGCAGCTGCGCACCGTCAGACAGGGTGATGTCATATCTCAGGTTCTCGACCTTGTGAGAAGCAGGCAGAGCTGGGTGTCGCTGGCATATCGAACGAGGCCACGGCAACCAGAAGCCTTCGCCCAAAGGACTTGGTGACCAATGTCCTTCCAGACCCAACCAACTGAGGAGAACAGTGCTCACTAACGGATTGTTCTGCAAAACCTGTCCAGATCTATCCAGTGATAACTTGATCAGCTTGGTCTGTTGTTTGAAGACTTCCCGAACCACACACGGCTTGGAAGCTCCGACTGCGATCCCCCGGGATCGGAGTCGGAGGCAGCAAAGTCGAGTCGGAGCAAGGCAGGAAGGCAGGAGCGCCCAAGAAGGGCGGTGTCAAGAGCAGGAAAGACTTCCTGACCGCAGGAGTGGAGCTTACGAGTAAAGCGACCACGACCTCCCACTGTTCTGACTCAAGAGTATCCAAGAGTACCTTTTTCAACAGGGACGCCAGAACAGTCTCTTCCAATCTATATATCCAGCT